GGGAGACGGCACCAACAGGCCAGTGGGCAGAAGGGAGCCGCCAGGGCACTGCTGGCCTCAGCTCCCAGCTCTGGTGCCCCCGGGGGGACTCATGCCTGGAGAGAGAAACCACCCGGGGAATGAAGACCATCAGCAGGGGCCTGGCCACCAAGAGCACTTTCTCCTGGAAGAAGAGGGCTTCCTTGGGACTAACGAACACAGTGACCAACACAGAAATGTTTAAAAACTGCTAACATGAGGCACGCCACCCATAAACTGCGAACAGGCCCCTGCGGCGAGGACGGGGTGGCGGGGGCAGTCTTGGCGCTCTCACTGTGCAGCTTGCTCGTCTCCCTGCCTTTTCCCGTGTCCTCCTGCCTGGCCGTCAGAGTCCTGCCAGAAGCTCTTTCTCTCTGTATTACACTGTGGCTTCCAGTAAACCGTCACACTCTCGGGACGGGGCTCACAGCAGAGGAGAGCGGCAGGGGTGAGCCGCGCCGGGCTTCCCCACCGATCTAAGTCATCACCAGACACCCTGCTGGGGCTGCACTCCTGTTGTAAGCTCGTCACCCCTAACTTCCACCACAGAACTCGCCACACTTCCTCACCTTGTCCCAGATGGGACGACACACAGCCACGGAATCCTGGACTCAAAACACAGAGCAACTCGGCTCCTGAGGAAGGCACATCCAAGTGGTTGTAACCAGGTAGTAACTGCTAACATGTACATTGCGGGTTTTCTACTTTAAAAAACTCTTTACCGTTCTAAGGTAAGATAGGACAAAAAACATGATGGCCAAACTGTAGAACCAATTAACAGTCATAACCAGTCACTGTCTTTGCAGCCCAAAAGTGTTCCCAGGGAGATAATAGGACATACACAGTCTTTTTAAGGTTACAGAGAAAAGGAAAAGTTAGAAATGAAAATATGTTTTGGGGGGATTTCCTCCTAAAATGAGTACCAACTGTGCAGACAGTAGACAGCTAGCTGTTTGTCTACATAGATTCTCCAGGGTCAGACTGTACAAAGGACGGAGACTCTTCTTGAAGCATAAAAGAAACTTCATTATAGACGCCTAGGAAGAGGTGCTCTGTTTGCACCAGCATTATGACGTCATCCGTCACCGTAATTACAGGCAGAACCAGGACAAGTCTCTTGCACGTGGTGGGGTGCTGTGAGCCTCGCTTCGAGCCACAGGGAGGTGCAGTGCTCAGGACCCCCCGGCCCTGCCAGTCCCAGCACTGCCCACCTGCCTGAGCCAGTGACCACAGACCTTGTGGGAGAGCTGTTTAGTTAAAAGCCAAGTAGACGTTTCTGGTACGTTCAGCGGGCTGACTCTGCGATGACCTGAGATCGTCCTCATGCTGATTGATCTGACCGTTGATCATCATACAACACACTCTGATTGCATCCTGTAATTATTTCACCCGTCACAGAATGACAAAAGAAGAACCCCGCGCCGGCTCTCTGGAGAGTGAGGACACCTCGCCGACGGGGAGTGGCCACGAGCCAGCCACGGCCAAGCACAGCGGGCACATGAGATGCAGCCCACATCTTGGGCTGCAACTCAGTCATCTCGTTTAGACCCCTCCCTGTACACCCGAGTCCTGTCCTGGCACCGCAGGCCAGAGGCCGCTCGTTCTGCTCAAGAGCATGAAGGGCCAGCCGCTCAGACAGTCAGCCTGAAACAGGAGCGGCCTGGCCCCTGTGGGCGCAGGCGGCAGCCGCAGGACCACACACTTCTGTGGCTGTTCATCCTCACTGCAGAGACAGTTACATAAGACATCTGACCCCTGCAGCTGCCTGTGTTTTGGGAGATGCCCCAGCTCTCACCTGGCGTCTACACCACCGAGCGGCAGGGATAAACGCAGGTGTGTGGTGAGCCCTGCGTCAGCGAGGCCGGGGGGCACCCGTGGCATGGAGGAGGGCAGTCCAGCCCTCAGAAGCCACAGTCACGGGGACAACGCCCCTTCCTTCCACCTGAGAACAGATGGCGGAGGCCCACAGAGGAAGGTGTAGCGTTCAGTAACTCCAGGGAGTGTGTGAAACCCAGAAGGCCAGTGGCCCCCAACAGGGTCTCCAGCCAGGATGCAGGCAGCTGGAGCCAGAGAGCCTACGTGCATCCCGGTTAGAAAGAGCCCCACGTGACCTGCGGCCACTTCTCAAGTGTCCAGTGTTCACTCAGCAAATCTGGGGCCAGGAAACCCGTTTAAAGGTTGACCACAATTCTTCTCATCTAGTAACATCTTGTGTCAAATGGCCACGCATCTGTTAATCCTGTTCAGATAATATGGAAAGTAACACATTTACTCTTCCAATACCTCACAACATCCAAGAACAAATGTGCTTTTGTTCTCTAAAGAAAGGCATGATGTAAAACAGTTTTGTTCAGCTATCCACATATCAAGCAATAATTTGTGGTCGAAACCACGTAGCTGCCATTTTTCACGCATGGGGGACCTTCTATTCCTTTATCCAGTGTCTCCCCAGCGGCAGGGAGTCTGTGCTCCTGCCCCAGGGGGAACGGGAGACCACGGCCACTTGTGAGGTGAAAGGATGGTGCCCTGTGGCATCCCCTGAAACACCTCAATGTGTTTAAACATTACTCACGGCAGCCAAGCTCTCAGCATGTACCCAACAGAAAGCAGTCCTCCACACACACAGCGCCACTCTTTCGGGGTTTTGTGAATACTTCTCCTCCAGAGAAAGTCAGCTAGTAGGCAGAGGAAGAAGTCCAGCCTGAGCTCCTGAGGCTGCAGATGGGGTCCATCGTGTGAGACGCACCACACATGCTTCCCAGCCAGGCCCTAGCTCTGCCGCTCAGAGACAGAAGAGACACAGAGGCCGCCACCTGGACCGTGTCCCAGGCCGTTCAGCGAGACGAACCCTCAGGACCTCACCTTACCCGCAGCCCGGCTCCACCGGAGGCCGTCCAACCAGGCATCTCGAAGACCATCCATTGCTCATATTGAAATTACACACTAAGACAGCTGATGAACACCAACCTCCTGAAAGTAACATGTGGCAACGAGAAGAGAGAAAAAGTCGAGAAAGGCTGTCAGTGGCCCAAGGGCAAAAGCAATGGCAGAGATTTCAAAAACACATTGACCGATTCTCTGCACAAACACATGTAAGGTCTGGCAGAATTTTTCAGAAATCACAATAAGATATTATTCTCTTCGAAATCAGTACATTGTGACAAAATCAGTCCAGTTCAGTTCAGCCCCTCAGTCGTGTCCAACTCTTTGTGACCCCATGAATCGCAGCACGCCAGGCCTCCCTGTCCATCACAAACTCCCGGAGTTTACTCAAACTCATGCCCATCGAGTTGGTGATGCCATCCAGCCATCTCATCCTCTGTCATTCCCTTCTCCTCCTGCCCCCAATCACTCCCAGCTTCAGGGTCTTTTCCAATGAGTTAACTCTTCGCATGAGGTAGCCAAAGTATTGGAGTTTCAGCTTCAGCATCAGTCCTTCCAATGAACACCCAGGACTTATCTCCTTCAGGATGGACTGGTTGGATCTCCTTGCAGTCCAAGGGACTCTCAAGAGTCTTCTCTAACACCATAGTTCAAAAGCTTGTGACAAATAGTAGCAGCTAAATTCTCTCTCTGAATTGATATGACTAAAATGTATATTTAACATGGAATATGAGTAGTTAATGTCTGTTTATAAAGTCATTGTAAAATTCAAGGACCACGTGACTACAGGGAAAACAATCCAACCAATCCCCATATGGATTATAATGACTTTTTTCAGTAAGAAACTAGTTTCAAACATGTCTTTATGCCACTGGACTATCTCACACACAAACAGCCCACACAACAAACAGGTAACAACGTAGAGTGAGATCTGCCCCAGCAAGCAGTTGTTGTTGTTGTTCAGTTGCTCAGTTGTGTCCCACACTTTGTGACCCCATGGGCTGCAGCAGGCCAGCCTTCTCTGTCCTTCACCATCTCCCAGAGCTTGCTCAAACTCATGTCCATTGAGTCGATGATACCATTCAACCATTTCATCCTCTGTCATCCCCTTCTCCTCCTGCCTTCAATCTTTCCCAGCTTTTCCAAAGTTGACTCTTCTCATCAGGTGGCCAAAGTATTGGGGCTTCAGCTTCAGCATAAAAAAAAAAAAAAATGCAAGCAGTACATGTTCTAATTATTTTTAGAGCAATTATCCAATAAGGCACTTTTTTTCTGTCAGCTCAGTTCTTAAACACAAAAAAGGCAAAAAGCATCCAAACATGTTTATAATGTGATTTACATTAAATGTATTTCATACATTCAATGCTGACATCCGTTTTTGGCCAAAATTTGATTGATTAAAAACAAGAGAAGCAAAAAGGAGTCAGCATAAGCAAAATGAAAGAAAAATTAAGTCATTAAAGTGGAAAATGCACTTTATAAATAAATTTTGCTTTTTTACTTTCAAGTGAGCATGGGATGTGTGCCTCAATCATAAATACAGTTGTGTTGTGTTTCAACTTGAATGTTACACACAAGGCCATGGTCTGATTTCTTGAGAGAGTTGTTACTTTCAGAAGGAAGGGCTGGGATTGAGGTGTGCTGGGGTATAAATCAATTAACAGTTCATTTATCTGCCTTGTCCAGAATCTTGCCTTGTGTGAAGGACTAATCTCTTGCCTTTCAAAAGTTCAAAATAAAGAAACCAGCCAACAAGTGAACTAGCAGGGTGTGCACCCTGCAGGAAACGTGAGAGCCGCCATCATGCCCTGGCACAGGCCGCTGACGGGGGCAAGGCCTTGGCTCCCGGTGGTCCCGCGTCTGTCCTCCCACTCCTCCTCCTCACCTGCGCTGGTCTCGGGCCTCCCTCACATCCCCCCTTCCTCTGGTGGGGCCTCGGTCTCAGGGGCTCCTCTCCCTCTCCACTTCCAGTGGCAGTGGCTCCCTCGTGTAAGCAAACGTCCCCTTTGGCATAACTGCCACCAACATCTTCACAGCTGTTGGCCTTCCTCACGAGCCTGGACCTCCTCCTCCAGCCTCTGGTGACACCTTCACCTCAGCCCCTCTGAGGAGACTCAAGGCCATCTGTCCGAGACAGCCCGCCTCCTGCCCAGTCAAGGGGCGGGCCTGGTGGAATGGCGGTGGTGCGCGGGCTGCAGGCTGCAGACCTCCCTGGACGGCTCCAGGGAGAGCGTCCACGCTCCGGAAGACCTGCTTGGTCTCCAGCAGGTGTGTGGCTGAGCCTGGTCCTGTGACCCTGGGGTGTGTCTGTGCGAGCCGACTGCGCTACCCTAAATGGCAGCGCTGGCCACTTCAGGGACACCTGCAGTTACACTCCCAGGAAAGGGAAGAATCCTTTGCAGACTGAGTCATGGCCCCTTCAACTTCCTATTTGATGAATTCTGATTCACCAGGTCTCCGTAAAGCAGAGCACACACACAGCGTGCAAACATCTGCAGACTTCAGGGAAATCCACTGTCCGTTCACTGATTAAAATTTTTATAAAGGATTCTTCTTTTCTCAACTTTCTGATTTCAAGAAAATCAGTGTCTTTGGGGTCCAGAGTCTTCCCCATAGAAGGGCAGGAAATGCCTCTGCATCACTTCCTCATGTCTGATTTCAAACAGAAAAGTGCAGATGAATCAGACATACAAGGCTCAAAATGCAGAATACATTATTAAGTGAAACTTCTCAGCAGTGGCCAGTGATTCAGAAGGGAGAAGCAGAGATGTCCTGTCTCCCGCCGCACCTGTAAGAACAGAGGCTTGGTCCTTGCCCAACGCCGACCACAAAGGCAGAGAGCAACAGCCTGCTCCTTGGCTCCGGCCATGCAGGCCAAGCACAGCCCTTAGCGTGGGGGGGCCCGCGCGTCTGGACAGGCCTGCTCATTGATTTAGCTCATCAGTCTGATTGAACGGCTTGAGTCGGAGGCTGTTAGTCCTGCTACCAGGTTGGTTTTCTTTTGTTGTTGATGGTATTTCAGGAGGATGTACCGACTCTAATCTGTACGATTTTTGTTGCTCCTCCGTGATTCCTGACCTTCCGGGACAGCTTGAAAGCGTCCGTTCCGAGCAAGGACCGGTGCATCCGGTCACAGTGCAGACGTCCACCCGGGACCGCGGGCGGGAGGGGCACTGCGGGGGCCATCCGCAAGGCCCGCGGGGCAGAGTGTCAGCTCTGAGCTTTGCAGCAGCGCCTGGAGCTGAAGCAAGTGACGCCTGTAACCACCAGGAGCCAGGACCGACGGGTCCGCCCCATCGAAGTCGCGCCTGCCTTTCCACAACTTCTGCGAACACGTCGTGCAGAGCCAGCGTGCTCCCCAGCCCGCGCCCCTCCCTCCGATTCGCAGGGTGCCCCGGGCACCGGGTGCGGGCGGAGTGGGTGGAGCCTGCCCCCCAGCACCCCAACCCGCCCCCGGGTGCCCGGCGGCTGCACCGAGCCCCGAACGTCCCAGGGGTTGGGCCCAAAGAGAGAAGGGGACAGAGGGCCGCGTTCTCCAAACTGAGTGGCGTCTGGACGACAGAGGACCCTCCGGCCCCTACCCCGCCGCCCAACGGATTAGGAAGCCGAGGAGGACGCGGTCCCGCGCTGAGGCCTCGCTTGCTTTTCACACCCCCGCTCCCACTGGATCCGCGACCTCGGAGGGCTGCAGAGACGCGAGTGGGAAGAGACTGGGGTGGGCTCAAAAGAGGGGTCCCTCGTCGCACACTGCACCGGAGGCCCGGAAAACCTCCGTGGGGACTCGGTGCCTGTAGGTGCGGCCAAGGGGGCCGAGAAGGTTCCAGGAGGTTCGCCTGCGTCCTCCCGGTGTCCCCCGCCGCACCCGAAGCCCCTCTCCTCACAGCACGCGCCCGAAACGCGGCCTCGAGGAGGCCCAGGCGTGCCTGGGCGCCCCCAAGTCCCGGGACCCCGGCGGGGGGACACGCGCGCACTCGCTCCACCGGGCACGCTCGTCCCCGCGTCCTGGCAGCCGGGCTGGCGCGGGGGGCGGGGCGGACGGACGGGGTGGGGGGGGGGGGGCAGGAAATGCCATTAATTGGGGAAATGCACACGGATTGCCCGCGTGGCCTTTGATGTGCGCCTGGGGCGGCGCGGCCCCTCCAGGCTGGCGAGCCCACCCCGCGTGCGCCCCGGGCCGCTCGCGCTCCCGGGAGTGCAGCCGGCCCGAGCGCCGAGGACGCGCGACATCGATCTGGAAAGAGCAGGAGGCCGGGGTCTCCCCCTGTGTCTCCCGTCAGGCAGCTCGGGCGGAGCCCTTTTTGTCTCTCCCTAGACCCCCAGTCCCCTGGGCCTCCCGGCTCCCCTAGTGCCCCGGGGTGGGTGGGCGGGCGGCCGAGTTCTGCGGAGGGCGGTCGCGCTGCCCACGCACCCTCCGGAGGAGAGGCCGCCGGGTCTCGCTCGGCCTCATGTATGTACACATATAAATATAGTGTTCGTCCAAATGACATTCCGCTCGCTCTCCCTCTGGCCCACCCCTCCCCCCCCTTCTTTTCATCATCAGCAAATAAAGATTAGCTGGGAAGATTATGGAAGCGTTTTCAGGCTGCTGCTGATCTTTATTCCGGAGGCTTTGTGATGATATTGATGATGATGATGGTCAAGTGGACAGTTTGATTTTTGTGTTTGGAGCTAGTTATAAAGAATCAATATTATATCAAGGGGTAACTTTCGTGATAAAGGACTTTAACCAGTCCGGCTATTCATCATAAGTCTGTAGCAAGCAGATAGGTCAAAAGAAATTATATTGCACTAAAGACTGAGTCTTCTTATCTCTCCCATACCAGGGGAATAGGGACAAGCCGATCGATACAGTAGCTGCTGTATACTTCTTGCAATTATCAATAGCTGATTTCGCCTTTTGAGGCCTGCATCTAAAAATGCAAGCTAATAATAATCGTTTGAGCCTATAAGCAAGGGAGTCAAGGTTTTAGCTGGCCACTGTTTATGGAATCATATGTGTTGAAGTGCCCCGGCCCGGCCACCGGCAGCCCAGATACGCGGCTCAGTGGTCAGGAGAGAAGTGCTTTCACATGGCTTGTGTAGCTAAGTGTGAAGACGAATGGCTCTGTGCTGTTGTTTCTTGTGTGTGACATAAAAAGCCATGGAATGTTTGCCTGTGATGCCTACATGTGAAGCTGTAAACTGACCTGTAATGAACATACAAGATAACTGCGAAGCACAAAGACCTAGATGGATTTCTATAACTACATACATGGCTCCTATCTATAAAAATATTTAGACATATTTATCTCAATAGTGTTGAAAGCAAAGGGGGTGACAGCAGGAGTTGTGTGCAGTGTGGGCCGGGCAGTTAGCTATATGTTGGTTTATTTAAGGAGAGCATTTTATTTTTATGGGGAAAGTGATTTCAAATGGGTAAGCGAGAAGCTCAGAAAAAGCGTTTTCAAAAAACCATAAATATAGTTTCTGGCTGCACGTTTTCTAGCACGACCCCCGCCTCCCCAAATGTAATAGAAAAGAAACATCTTTATAATTGGCACTTGACATGCTGTTTGCATTGGGCTGTGGTACACCCAGCACAGATTTCCTGTTGATGGAAACATTTATCATCCTGATTGCCCCAGAGTGGCAGGTGGTGTTATCAATTACCTCTTCTTACCAATAATAATATTAGTATGGTAATATCTTTGCTCAAGTGAGAACCAATTAGCGGTCACTTGTCACAACATTAAAGACACAAAATCATGCTGGTTTTAACTGTAAGGACCTAAAAACAAAAGTTGGGGGTGGGGGAGGAACCAGAGACAGGGGAGAGAGAAGAAAGGAACTTTGATTTCGGAGGGAAAAAAGAATGAAAAGAGACAAAAAAAAAAAAAAAAAGCTCTAATCTTTGAATACTCTTTTTGTACAAAGTAGCTGGGAAAACAAGCACATTGTAAATGAAGTGCCCAATGCACCTTATGCAAAACTGTCTTGTTTTTGAAGAGCCAGGTAGACTCAATAAACTGGGACATTGAGATAGAACCAAGCCTTCCACCTTCCCTTGTCAAGTCAGTATCACAGATACGCTTTCTGTAGTATCTGAATAAATGATACAAATTAATCAAACACCTAATTATATGTTCCACTAATGTAAAGTATACAGTATTAATTTGTAAATAATATTATTAAGCAGACAAAATAATAACGTGTCGCCTCCAAAGATGAAAACAACATTGCAAGAGGAAAGACAATTAACAAATTAGATTTAATTATAGGGAAGAAAAGCAACTTTTGTTTTTGCAATAGTGTTTAGGTATTATAATACTGTAATAGACAGTGGTCATGTGATGGCAAAGACCTGTGTGTTGCCTGCACAAGTCGGTATCCACACCTCTGATGCACAGCTCCGGGGGTCCTTTCGCTTGGGCGAGACTGGAGGACACATTCTGTTACCTCATCTGTGAAAACACCTTTCTTGACACGTTGTCGACTCGCACTGTAGCTATTGTTGGGACTCGAACTCAAGACAAGTATGCTTTCATTAAAACTTCCTGCACTACACAAAAACACTTAAAGAAAAGTTTCAGACTTCAGTGGAGGGAAGCGAAGGAGAACAGGAGACTCGGGAGGTAACTCGCCTTTTGTTTTCGGCCTCTACTTTGTATTTTTTTTCTTTTTTTTTATTGATCTTGAATACCCCAGTCAAGCTTTTAAAAGGTTTACAGATCCACACCACCTAGCCTTGGTGGGGAGTTTGTCTAGGTTCCCCTTCCGCTGCGTCCCTGGTTCCGTCCAAGTCTTTGCTCGATCTTCTCAACGAAATCCGAGCGCAGAGAGAGCGGGGGGCGAGGTGGAGTAGCACCTACGCCCCGCCGGCCCCACCCCGCGCGCGCCCTGGGCGAGGACCGCACCCCGCGCCCCAGCCGGTCGGACCGCCGGCTCGGCGTGCGGCTTCGCGGCAGCCCTTTCTGTGGCAGCCCGGGCATCCGCCGCAGCCGAGCCCAGACTGCCGTGTCTCCCCACTGACAAAGCGCCTCGCGGCGGGCGGACACGTCTGCGATCTGCCGACTCGCTTCTTACAGCTAAAGGGCCGGGGCCTCACATTCGCCTTCGCTGGAGGGACTTAAGATCCTTCCCACGACCGCACACCGTAGAAAATGCTAAACGAGTCGACGGAATTAGACAGTGGCGTTTAGAAGTCCGGGAAAGACCTAAGGAAATCGTGCCAGTGGGTTGGAGAGAGTGGGGGACGGGGGTGGGGGGCTGGGGGAGGCGGGCGAATGGCTTTAGGAACAAAAAGGCGGGGGGCGGCGCGCGCAAAGTGGCCCGAAGTGGATGAGTCGCTGCCACGGGGCCCGAAGGCTGCGGGGGAGCCGGGCGCGGGCTTCCTCTGAGAGGGTTCGGACGCCGCGAGAACTTCCATTTGCTTCTTTTCCCCCAAAGTGTCGAGTTTTGTAAAAAGACGGGAAAAAGAATTAACCAGGTCACAACAGGCAGTGCACCTTTAACTAGGACTCCGACCCACTGACGCCGCTTTGGGTTCTTTCTCTGTTGGAGAGCAGACGTCTACCTTTCCGCTGCGGCGCTGCAACTTCCCCAAACTCCTGCCGTCCTGTAAATTCTGCAAAAAACTTCCACTCGCTACCACCGCCCGCCCCCACCTAGACACGGCCCTGCCTCGCCCCTCCTCTTAGCCACTGTTTTCCCAGGAAAGTTCCTGGCCAGCTAGCCCCAAAGCCCTGGCTGGAAACTTTTCACTGCTGAGCGCCTCTGCGCCGGATGCGAGAGTGTCCCCAAAATGCAGCAGCATTTGCCAAAGTTGACAGACGGCGCACTGGCGAAACAGACCTTCCCTGCATCTCCCAGCTTAGCTATAAAAGCATTACCGTGGGGGTGGGGGTGGGGGAAAGGGATGGTAACCCTAGATTTCGAACATTTTTCATTTTTTATTTTCAAAAACAAAATTACCTAAGTGAATACTCCTGCCACCAAGTAGCAAAACAAAACCAATCTTCAGGAATCTGGTTGGGAGGGGGTGGCAAAAGCGGTGGCGAAGTCTCTTAGGAGACGATTCCAACCTGTGCGCTTCCTTCCTCTGTTATGATTTTCCTGCGCTTTACCTGGAGCCCAAAGCTGTTGCTTCGTGAAACTTACACAATTAGAGGCGAGCGGGAGAACACCGGCTGGGAAGAGGGAAGGTTCTAGAACGGAAAAGCAACTCGCTGAGAGCCGGGCGAGTGTCGAGGGGCCGGGGTCCACCCGGGGCGGGGGAGGGGGTGCCCACTAGTCTGAGACCCGCTCCCAGCCACGCGGGGAGATCGCAGCCCTGCGGGCGCCCGAGGCTGTCTGCTCGCCGGCAGTTCCCGTCCAGCACACGACCCTGGGGGAAGCGCCGGGAGGCCATCTGTGCCAAAGCTTCGTACCAGACAGGGCCAGTTGTGAAGACACAAATAATAAATTTAGGAAATGAAAGAAGACATGCTGGGGCGCAGGGCACAGGCGCGAGCTCGGCAGCGACGGGCCTGGAGCACATCCCGGCGGCCGCTCGCGATGGAGGACACGCGCGGGAGCGAGAGTGCGGGAGTGGGCGAGGGCGCGTGTGCGCCGCTGCGGGTGGGGTGCGCGCGCGGGGGCGAAGGAGCGCGCCTGATAACCCGCGGAGGGTGGGTGCGTATGCTGGGAGCGCGCGGCGCCCGCCGCCCGGTGATGCTGGGCCGGTCCGGATGTGCGAGACCCCTCACCTGCTCCCCCTACATCACCCCCCGAAAGTCCAGAACGCGGTGGGCCACGCGTGGGACTTTTGTGGACTTGGAACTTTCAGTCGCGCGGCCTCCGGGCACCCTGCGCTCCCTGCCCACGCCACAGGCGCCCGGCACTGCACCCATCAGGCTAGGGTACTGGGGGTGGGACGCGAAGCCCCGCGGTCCCCTCCCTGTCCCTGGATTTAAGAAGCCGCTGGCGGCGCGGAGGCCCGGCGGGCGGGCGAAGGGCCGGGGCGGCCCGGGTGGCGGCGGCGGGCGGGGCGGGCGCTCAGGAGTTGAGGGGCCCGGGGGGGGGGCGGGGAGACGGGGGTGGGAGCGGAGGGGAGGGGGTTCGAGGGGAGGGGAGAGGAGGAGCCGCGCGGCCCGCGCCGCTTCCGAACCGGAAAGTTGGTCTTGCCGAAGTCCCGCCACCCCGGCGTGCGCACTCCGCTCCGCTCCGGCCGCGAGCCTCCGGGCCGGGCCGGCCGCTGGGGGAGCCCGAAGAGCGGACACGAGCCCGGAGAGAAGGTCCGGAGACGGGGACACCACCTGAGCCCGAGCGGGGCCGGCGTGCGGAGAAACGCCGAGGACCAGTGGAGGCAGGCGGCCGGCCGGCCCTCCGCGCCGGAGCGCAGGAGGCTCGGCGCCCGAGCGGCCCGGAGAGACAAAGGCGCCGGCCGGAGCCCTGCCCGCGGCCGCCCGCTCCGGGAGGGGCGCCGGGCGGCGGCGGGGGGGCGCGGCGCGGGGCGCGGGCGGCGGCGCAGACACTATAAAGGGGCGAGCCCGGCGCGCCGGCAAAGAGGCGCCGCGCGGACGCCGCCAAAGTTTGCTGCCTGCGCCCGGGGCCGGGAGGCCGCCGCGGCCGGAGCCGCTCCCGGCCCGCCGGGCCGCAACCGGGCGACGAAGAGCGCGGAGCCCGCGATGTGAGGCGGCGCCGGCCGCGCGCCCGGGTCCCGCAGGCGACGGCCCCTCCTTGCCGCGCGGCCGCTAATTGCGAGCGCGGCCTCATTTGCATAGGCCGCCCGAGTCCGCTGGAGGCCGGCCAATCGGCGCGGCCCTCTGCTAATGGCCATGCATTATTCACCAGCCTAATTGCTCAGCCCCATGCGCGGCCCGCGCAGCCGCCGCCGCCGCCGCCCGCGCCCCGCGCCCCGCGCCCGCCCGGCCGCCCCGCGTCGTCCCCGCCGGCCGCCCCGCTGATGCCGCTGCCCCGCGAGGGGCCCGCGCGCCGCTAGCAGCATGTCTCGGCGCAAGCAGGCCAAGCCCCAGCATCTCAAGTCGGACGAGGAGCTGCCGCCACCGGACGGGGCTCCCGAGCACGGTGAGGGGCCGCGGATCGCTGGGCGGCCGGGCGTCTGGAGGGAGCGGGGGCCCCGCGGACCCGGAAAGTGCCCGGGCTCCCGCGAGCCGGTGTGTGCCGTGTGGCGCTCTATCCGGGCAGGCCAGCCTGGGGATCCGGTCTTCCGCCAGAGCGCGCGGCGCGGGAGTTTCGGGCGAAGTAAACTTGGCTCGGCCGCCGGGAGTTGAGCTGCGCGCGGAGGCGCCAGGGCTCGAGGACCGCTCGGAGCCCGCGCTACCCCGCGGAGGCCAGCGCGCCGAGCAGGGCGCGGGCGGGAGGGGCCGAACTGCCGCCTCCGCGCCGCCCCCCGGGCTCCCCACCCCTGGACACTGGGACTGGCCTCGGCGATCGCGGCGCCCCCCAGGGAAAGCGTGGCGGCGGGGACTCGTCCCAGGGTCTCGAACCGCCGGATACTGGCCGGGGAGGCCGCTGCCGGAGCAGCTTTGTTCGGCGCCCGGCGCCCCAAGCTGTGCGCGCTCGGAGCGGATCCGCCGCCCTGACCGCGACCTCCCCCTCCCAGGCAGGCCAGCGGCCGCCCCGTATGCCCCGAGGGCCGCGGAGACCGCGAGGTCCGGGCGCGCCGACAAACCAGCGATCCCATTCCGAAGCGAGTAGGAAGTCGGTGTGGCCTGGCCTTTCCTAATGGCCGCCTTGGGAATTAACCCCGGGTGAGCTGCCCCGCGGCGCTGGGGGTGGTCGTGCACGCGGTAGGACCCCGGCACGCTTCTGTCGCCTCTCGGTTTTCTGGGCCTTTTCCTGCTCTCGAAGGCGCCGCGGCCACCTCTGCAGTCGGCTGGGGGGTAGGGACTTCCTGCCCATCCAGGAGGGAAGGTAGGAGCCGCGAAAGTTAGCGCCCGGCGAAGAGCGGGCTGGCGTGGCGCGCCCCAGCCGGGGAAAGTGAGGGCTCGGGCCTCGCGCCGCCCGCGGGTCCCCAGGGTGCGGGAGGGGCGATCGCGAGACGCGGGGCGACCCTGCACTTGCCCGGAGCCTGGGCACTGAGTAGTGTGATCCTTAGGAAACAGGCCGGCCAACTTTTTGGATTAACCTATTATAAGTGGTTTAGAGCAGATACGCATCTTTGCTTTGGGAACTAGGCTGCAGAAAATAAAAGGAGTTGAAGAGTTTAGCGAGCGGAGCCGTAAAGTTTGCAAAAGCAGGTATTCGTCCACATCGGAATGGAGAAGGGAGCAAAGGCTTCTTACGCGGCTGGGAATTCAGGAATTAAATAAAATTCGTGAACTCGTGAGTTCACGCTTTTTTGTCGCAGCGGAGGTAAGAGGTTCTTATCTGTGTCGCCTGGTCACCCAAGATTAGAACGGGAGATATGCTAAAAAGAAACGCTTGCATATGGTGGGTAGATTAAGGACAAAGAATCTTTTTGTCATGGAAATGGATTTTTTTTTGTTTTGTTTACTTCATCACATAGAATTTCTCACACTTGGTTTGTTTTCTATTGCCCTCAATGACTACATGATCAAATGAATGGATTTATTTCTGCCGAATGAGAAAGACAGTCTTTCCTTCAAAAGAACTACATTGCATCCCAGTGAGGAATTTTAAAGCTTTATTATTGTGGCTCCTGAATAGCTTAAAATCGGCTTTCACAGCCGCCCCAAAATGCAACAATGTAAATACTTCTCAGCTTTGTAGGGTCGTTATCAAAATGTGCAATGTCTCTTTTTATTAAAGCATATTTTAATTAATAGAGTAAAACCCCTTGTATTTAACAATTAACAAGCTGAGGCACTGCTATTCATTTTTAATTTCACTTCAGAAATGCGAGCGTGGTGAACCTCCTAGTGTAGCATGTGGAGGGGTTCAGAGCCCTTATTTGAAATCCTAAGATGGAGTAAATTATTCACAAGTTCTCTTTTGAATTCCTCTTGTTGTTACTGAATTTATTTAGGGATGAAACATATTCAGGGTTGTTGTTTTTTTTTTAACCC